TTCCTTCCCCCCAAATGTTTTTTTCCTGGCGTTTTGGATGTGCAGACATTTGAAGAGATCGTGGCAGTGAAAAAGAGGGTGCAGTGGATCTTCCGTCTCCTTGACCAGGACCCTGCCTCCGTGTCTCCACGGGGAGGCCTTTCGGGAGAGTTGTGCAGGCAGGAGGATCCTGCTTGCCGCGGGCTCCCAGCCAAGTGAGCGGGCACGGTTGTCGCACACCCTGGCCCGCACTCAGGGCCTCCCCCGCATGCCGCCCACACCCCTGCCGCCCACGGTCGGTTTCGCACGGTGGTGCCGTGCCCGCGCATCCACACCGGCCTCGCCAGTGCTGCGGATTCTCTGGGCCAGCTGCCCGGGGTGCCTTGCTCGTCTCTGCCCACGGCTGGGTGTCTGCTCTGCTGGCTTTGTTCTGGAGTCAGAGCTCGGCGTGGATGAAGCACTTGACCATGAGGTCTGCAGAAGGGGCACTTGTTCATTGAGGAAAACTAGGAAGTACACGTTCAACCAAGATGAAGGCATTAGGAGTGTCCCCCGAGGGCCACCCGGTGGCTCAGTCCGGCTCTTGGTTTTGGCCTAGGTGGTGATCTCGGGGCTGTGGGATCGAGCCCCACGTCAGGCTCCTTGCTCAGCAGGCTCGAGACTCTCTTCCCTCCGCCTTTCCCCCATGCTCACACGAGTTCTCGCTAAAATAAACAAGTAACATCGTTTTAATAAAGTGTGTGTCCTGACACTGAGGGAATGACCGTTGTGTGTCCTGTGGTCACCAAGTCCTGCCCTGCTAGGCCCCCACTGAGTCTGGGCCCCTCTTGTCCTGCAGACGCCTGGAGCCCACCTTCCGCGTAGCCACTATGACTTAGCTGCCGTGGCAGACGCGTGCCCTGCCGGCAGGGGTGGAGCCGCGCCGCCGGAAGGCGGTGGGGGGGGGCAGCCGGCGCTGTGCGGCTCTCCGCAGCCTGAGGGCCGAGGGTGGCCGTGAGTCCTTCCGAACGCCGGTGGGCGCGCAGGCAGGGCGTTGAGGGCCGGCGCGCACGTCTGGGCAGGCCCGTGGCGCAGGCGGCTGGGACCCTCCCCTCCGAGGGGCTGCCGCCCGGCAGCCGGGGTCCAGCCCCATGTGAGGTGAGCCCCATTTCCCACAGGAGCTGGATTGCGTGGCCTTCGCTTTGCCAGTTAGCCTGCTGTCGTCCTGCGGGACGGTTTTCTGGAGGAGCCTGAAAGGTCGGAAAGACCCAGATTTTCCCGATTTCATCTGGAGAGTGTGTTTTGTTGCGGTTTTTCCTTATTCTTTGGAGCAGTGGCAAGACCCTTGTGAGGAGCTGCAGAGCCACCGGAAATGACTCCCCGAGTTCAGCTTCAGAACGGCGCTGTTCCCTTTCAGCGAGCGCGGCTGGCCCGTGCACGGACAGCGGCTGTGGCGTTGGAGTCTGCGTCCCTCCCCGGCGTGTCCTGGGGACGTGAGCGCACCTACGTGGCATCCCGCGGCCTCAGCCTCTCCAGGAAGCTGGCTTTCCTCGGGGTCTGCTGAGCTGCGGCCGTGCGTTCCAGGTTCCGGTCGCCCGGCGAAGCCCGTCACCTTTCCATGGCTGTGCGCTCCAGCCCTGGGGCGCGGCCTGGGCTCCGAGCCGGCTGCCGCCCTGCGGGAGTGGAGCCCTGCTATCTGCCTCCCAGCTGTGCTCTGGGCTGTGTGTTGCCCGTTTGGGTGTGCGTGCGTGCGTGTGTGTACACGCGTGTGCGCAGAAGGGTATGTGCACGGAGCTGGGCTTGGAGTCTTTGCTCCCCCTGGAGCCTGCTCATTCACCTGAGCGTGCAAACAGGCCACCCCGTGCGTACGTGTGCACACACGAGAACACACGTGTGAGCCCCACAGCCCTGCCTTGTGTGTGGGGGTCGTTCTGCCTTCTCTCCAGGCCCCGTGCGGCCTGTGAGCGCTGGGGTCCAGCCCGTGTCTCTTGTGTGCCCGCCGGCCGAGGCTGTGGCCCTGTCGAGCGTATCACGTTGTCCTCGGGCGTCTTCTGACTCAGAGCTGCGCGGGAAGGGGGTGTAGGAAGACGGGCCCCCGCAGCCAAGATGACATGCCGCCCACGTCTGCTGTGGGTGTAGCTTCAGGTACAGCCTGGCGTGTTCTGCGAACTGAACATTGCCCTAAGTCGCCACCCAGAACAAGCTCTTCCCAGATGGGAGAGAACTGGAAGCTTCCCCAGGACCCCCCCATTTCCCCGGTTCCCTGTTGTTAGGCCACTCCAGCCCGTGTGGACGGCTCTGCACAACATGTGACAGCCTGTCCCCACAGCTGGGCCGGGGGCGCGCTACACTCTGTAGTCAAGCTTGCCCGGAAGAGGGGCGCGCTTAGCGCTTACCTGGATGATGTGTGATGTCGTAGTTCCACACCGTATCGTTTTCTGAGAACGCTGTGTCTTCTGCCCATTTTCTGTGAGACCGTGAGACCTTGTTGTTTTGTCCTTCGGTTTCTTAGAGCTCCCTGTGTATACTGGGAAAATTAGGTCTTTATCTGTAATACACTTTTTCCAATTTATTTGTCTTTTTTTGCTTGTTTTTGACGTTGCTTATGATTTTTTTCCAAGCAAAGGTGTTTAATATTTAAAATGTTTGTTATAAAATGCATTCGTCTTTTATTTTTTATTTATATTTATATTTTACATTTATATTTTTATTTATTTTTTGCATTGGGATTTTGAGTTAGAAAGGCCTCCCCTACAATGAGGTTATGAAGGATTTCGCCATTTCCTCGTTTGTACGCTTTGTAGTTCCATGGGAGCGACCTGCTGTGGTGACCTTGCCGTGTTCGCGCCTTAGTCCATCTGCTGCATCTGTGTGCGTGAGCCACAGTCGCCCTGGTCCCCCTGGCGTTTGTTACAAAACGCAGGGGCTGGGTTCAGGAAGAGGACTCGAGTTGTTGGCGTCAGCAAGCTGTGGGACTTCTCAGGACAGGCCCGGCTCGTGTGCCCCTCTGTTGGGACTGGGGCAGCAGGCAGACCCGCGTGCGTGTGGACCAGCGCGCTGCTCGGGTTCACGGGAGTGTCGTGCTCCCCCATCGGACCGTCTTAGCCTGGAGCTCTGTGGAGCCGCGCAAGGACGGGGCTGGGCCTTCATGAGCCCACCGCGTCCCCCGGAGCCAGGCGGAGCCCTGTGGATGCCCCTGCTGGCAGGTGGCAGTGTCCTGTCTCATGTCTTGTTTCACTCTTCAGACCCTTGCGTTTACTGCAGAGATGTCTCTGGCAGAGACGTCTCTCTGCCGGAGAGCAGCTTGGCGTCCATTTATATAAAACGTGGAAACTAGGTTTCCTTATAAGCTGTCCTCTAAACCCTGCCCGACCGGCGCTCGCTCCCTCTTTATAAGTGTTTTGCGGCCCTGCCCAGCACTACCTTGAGGTAGAGGCTGCTGCGTGGTCGCCTGAGCAGTGCTGCAGGGGCCGCGAGTTTCAGGAAGGCAGGAACTTGCCGTCGAGCTCAGAATCAAACGCGCTTACAGGGTTGTGTGCCTGGGACATGCGCACTGTACGGAGACCAGGTGAAAATGGGGTTTCTGTCTACACCAGAGCTGGGCTCCAGGCTTCCACCTGCTGGCGCCGGGTGGGGTGTGTGGAAGGTGTGGGGCCCAGAACCACCAGCCCCCACCAGGCCTTCTGCGCTGGGCAGCACCCCTGCCTCTGAGAGCCACCCCTCAGCTGGGACTTTCCTCTGCAAGGGTGGGGTGACCTGCTTCAGGGTTTCTTTAACCCATGGGGAGTTAAGGTCGTATCTGGATGAACTTTGGCTGGAGATTTTCCGGAGACAAAGCTGTCGGGTGATGGTGCGGGAGCAGCGAGTGTGCTGCTCTGCAGGTGACCTTGCCGTGGGCGTGCTGAGGACGCTTGGGAGGGTCATGTTTGTCCTCATGTTAACATTTTTGTATGAAATTTCACAGCAGTTTATGGTATATATATTTTTTTAAGATTTTATTTATTTATTTGACACACAGATCACACGTAGGCAGAGAGGCAGGTGAGGGGGGGAAACAGGCTCCCCGCTGAGCAGAGAGCCGATGCGGGGCTCGATCTCAGGACCCTGGGATCATGACCTAAGCTGAAGGCAGAGGCTTAACTCACTGAGCCACCCAGGCGCCCCTGGAATATGTTTTTTTAAGATTTTTAAAATTTATTTGACAGGGATCACAAGTGGGCAGAGACTCAGGCAGAGGGAGAGAGGAGGAAGCAGGCTCCCCACTGAGCAGAGAGCCCGATGCGGGGCTCGATCCCAGGACCCTGGAATCATGACCTGAGCCCAAGGCTGACGCTTAATCTGCTGAGCCACTTAGGCACCCCTGGAATATGTTGTTTGTAAGCAAAATATGTCCAGGTCTTTGATGAAATTGCTGGACATGTCCTCCAGGACACAGGCACCGTACAGTTCTCTGTGTCTCCCTCTCCCCGTGTGTGTACATAGGTCTGTGCAAGACTCCTGGCTCACGGGCGCCTGGGTGGCTCAGTGGGTTATAAGCCTCTGTCTACAGCTCGGGTCATGATCTCAGGGTCCTGAGATCGAGTCCCGCATGGGGCTCTCTGCTCAGCAGGGAGCCTGCTTCCTCCTCTCTCTCTCTCTCTCTGCCTGCCTCTCTGCCTACTTGTGATCTCTCTCTGTCAAATAAATAAATAAAATCTTTAAAAAAAAAAAAGACTCCTGGCTCAGGGCCACGGAAGAACTCTCTCTTTGTACCTGCGCTGGCTGTGTTCGCGCTCCGCAGTGCTGAGGCATCTGCCTGGGAGACTGCCTGCTCAGCCGGCAGGTCAGGGCACTGCACCATTTGCTGTAGAAGCCCCAGCATCACGTGCTCATCCCAGGTGGGGGCGCCTTCCTCGCAGGCCCCAGGAGCTGCCGTGACCCGTCTGTCTGGGCTTGGCTCCCAGGCTTCTCTCCGTCTCTCTTATAGGCACTGAGGGCTCCACGAGTGATACTTGAGGGGCCTGCTGTGTGTGAACACGGACAGACAGCTGCATCCCAGCGCCCAGGACACCCAGCATGCTTCTCTCCTGCAGGAGGTGTGCTGGGCAGGCCGTGGGACCCGTGCGGGGGCCGGTAGACAGGAGGGCCCTCCCTGGGGGGCTGGAGTCTGGAAGGAGCGTTGGCGGGGGGCACCTAGGGAATGTGGTGCTGGGAAAGAGGGCACAGTTCAAGCAGCTTTGAAGAGACAGAGTTCTTCCAGCAGAGGAAAGCTGAAAGCCCTCCATGCAGGGCTTGTGGGAAGGCTGGTGGCCACCGTTGGGTGGTGGAGTCAGTTCCCAGGGAGTGTACTGTGCCTTGTATGAATGCAGTGCAAAGTGCAAATTGGAGTTTCCTCTGCACCCGGCACTTAAACTCTAGATCTTTCTTTTCCCCACAGAGTTGAAGCACTGGGTCCTTCTGTCCTTTATGTCCATGCGGCACTCCTGCTCTCTTCTCCTCGTTTGAGGAGGCTGGTTCTCTAACGTCCTTTGGGGAGAGGACAAGGGTCACTAGGCATCAGGGCTGAAAGCTGTTTTGTGTGTTTTGTTTTTTTTTTTCCTCGGGTCGTCTAGCTTTGGTGTTGGTGACATTACGCGTACCGCTGGGTGTCAGAAAGGGCCTGTGGCTAAGGGTGGTGTGCTCCGCCGACTGCCTGTGGGTCGGGGGGCCACGTCCTGACCGCCCGTCCTGAAGATTTGCCGCTGGGCACGGAGAGTGGGTTTAGGTGGTACTGAGACCTGCATGACGTTACCTTCACTTAGGCTGTGCCACTGTGGTGAGAAGAGACATGAGGTTTCCGACACCGTGATTTACCCGTGGCGTTTGCCTCTGTTCGTTGCTCCGGCACCTGGATTCTGGCCACTGCCCCTCTCTTGGGTTTGTAAATAAAATTCGTGAGCCTTCTTGTGCACTGCTTTCCTCTGTTGATCCTGCCGGGGATTTCATCATGTGTCTTGTCTCTGGTGATTTCCTCTGGTGGATTTTAGGAAGTTCTGTCTCCCTTCATGCCACAGCGTGGATGCACCATTGTCTGTGAAAGGGACCAAGACTGCCCTTCGATGCTGTTTGATTCCTTTAAAATGAACATCACTTGACATGGGTAGCTTCTGCCGTACACCCTTGCGGTCTTCAGCAGACGTCACAGTGAAACTGCGTGTAACTGGAGGGTTATTGCTGGTTTCCTCTCATGAACTGTGCTGCGGGAAGCTGGCATGTCGCGCTGTCTCAGCTTCCCGCTCCTCTCCCGCTGTATTCGCGCGCAGAAAGTCATCCTGGAGAGTTGGACACGATTCCGTGTGTCCTGAGATCGGTGGACAAGCAGGTATTGATTATGTGTATTGCATTTAGGAATGGCATCTTCCCGCTGTGTGCTACAGCTCGTGGAATGGAAGTGGTTATTTAATTATAAGAGTAATAAATGCAAGGGCGAGAAAATTTGGGAAACAAAATTGTTCAGGTTTTATCATGATTAGTATCTTGTCGAATTTCCAGTTAAAAACTACATTTACAATTTGTTAGATCGTTTTAACGTTAGAAAATCTTTGGCCACTGTAACAGGTGAGTCACAAATATGTATGTGTAAAAATAAATTCTTCCCCCAGTTCCTTAGCTGATGGTGGATAGTGCAGAGAACCTGTTCGTGCGCCTTTCTCACACTCGCGTGCGTGCAGACGGCTGAAAGCGGACCCCAGAGCCCGCACCACAGGTCCCTTCAGCAGGTGCGGCGACGTCCCGAGCGTAGTTACAGTGGTGCGCAGCCGTCGCTGCTCTCCGTCTTGTGCGTCGTTAGTACCCCAAGAAGAGCTTCCCTCCCCATTTCTCCCCTAACTTCCCAGTTCTAGGAAACCTCCAGTCTACTTTGTGTGTCTATAGTTTTGCCATTTTTGACAAAATCGTGGCATTTTGTGTACTTGGAGTCACGCCAGCTGTGGGCGGGGGTCTGGCTGCTTTGGCTCTGTGCAGCACCTGCCAGTTCGCCCGTATTAGTGGGAGGCGTCAGCACCTTGTTCTTCGTGCTGAGTCCTACTCCGCTGTGTGGACGCGCCACCCGGCTGGTGAAGGCCTGCTTTGCGCACATGCGGCTTGTCTGTACGAGGAGCAGTGCTGTATTTGTGTCTGTGGGGACACATGGCTCTGTTTTCTTGGGCGCAGCCCTGGCAGTGCATGGCGGAGTCCGACAGTAGCTCTGTGTTTAGCCTTTTGAGACGCCCTGAGACTTCTCCAGAGCAGCTGCACCTGCGCACCAGCGCCCGGTGGGGTGCCGGTTCCTCTGCAGCCTTGCCCACACTTGTTACTGTCTGTCGTTTTGGTCATAACCATCCTCGTGGTTTAGATCGGCATTACCCAATGACTGAAAATGTCGTATATTTTTTTTCATGTACTTATTGACCATTTGTACATCTTCTTTGGAGAAATGCCTGTTTGGACCTGTCACTCAGTTTTTAATTGGATCGTCATTTTATCCGTAAATAGAAGAGTTCTTTATATATTCTGGATGTGAGACCCTTTTCAGATAAATGATTTGCCAGTATTTTCTCCCATTCCGTGGGTTCCCTTTTTTCTTTCTTGACATTGACAAGACGCACAAAAATCTTTAATTTTGATGAGGTCTTATTTATCTCGGTTTTCTTTGGTTGCATGTGCTTGTGGTAGCCCAAGATTACCATGATCTACTCTTGTATTTTTTCCTAGACTTTTATATGTAACCTTCTGAGTTCGTTTCTGTGTGTGTGAGGTCATGGTCCGTATGGATGTCCGGTTGTCCCAGCATCGGTTGTTGGAAAGACTGTCATTTCCGTGTCCAGTGGACCTGGTTTCCTTGCTGAGAAGCCATTGGCCATGAACCTCCGAGTTTCTTTTTGGACCCTCGGTTTTATTCTGCTGAATCCTGTGCCTGTTCTGTGCTAATGCTGTGCTGTCGCAACTACTGCAGGGGTCAGAAGGCTGTGAAATTGGGACGTGTGAGCCTTCTAATTGGCCTTCCTTTTTCAAGATTGTTTGGGCTTTTTCTTTTCTTTTTTTTCTTAAGAGAGCATGAAGACTGTAGCAGGGGCGGAGGCAGACTCCAGCAGACTCCCCATGGAGCACAGAGCCCGATGCGGGGCTCGATCCCAGCACCCGAGATGATGGCCTGAGCAGAAATGAAGGAGTCAGAGATGCGCACCTGACTGCGCCACCCAGGGTCCCCTGTTTGGCTGTTCTGTCCTTGCATGTCCACCTAGGTTTCGGGGTCAGCTTGTCTGTTCCTGCCCAGAAGCCAGTTGCAGTCCTGACGGGTGCTGCGCTGGCCGTGGACCCGTCTGGGGCGCATTGCTGCCTTAGTAATGCTTGTCTTCCTGTCCGTGACCTTGAGGTGCCTGTTCTACTTGTTCTTCTTTAGTTCTTTCTGCCATGTTTTATTGCTTTTGGAGACTCAGTTTTGTGGGGGGTTTTTTGGCCATTAAATTTTTCCTCAGTATTTTATTCTCTCTTTTTTTTAGTGAGTTTATTTATGTCCGTAAGCTGTGCACCCAGCACGGGGCTTGAACCCAGGGCCTCGAGAGCGAGCCCGCACGCTGCACGGGCTGAGCCACAGGCGCCCTGGGTGCCGCCGCAGGCGGGAGGTTGGAGCGGTCTGCTCAGGTCGTTTGTCGCGACGGCAGAGAGACACGGTTGAGTTCTGCGTTGGTTTTGTGAGCGGCAGCTTTGCTTAACTCAACGCACTACCTTGAGTTAAACATTTAATAGATTGTTGAGGATTGGTGTGTGCACACCAGGTCGTACTCTCTGTAGACAGTTTTGCTGCTTCCCTCTGGCGAGTGCCTTTTACTCGTTAATTCTCCTGCCTGGTTGCCCTGCCTGGTTCCTCTCACTGAGCAGAGGTGCGGAGAGCGGGCCCCTTGTCTGGCCCCTGGTCCTGGGCCAGGGCTCAGACCCACCCCTAGGCGCACAGGCAGTGGGTGGCGGCTTGGGTGTCCCGTCCCTGTCAGGAACGTCCTCTAGCGCCTTGCAGAGGAAGTAACCCTGAGGGGAGCCCCCCTGAGATCCCGGTTTCGGGGGTCGTGGGATGAGGACTTGCGCAGTCTGCCCGTGACCGGGTGGGCCTCTGGTGCTGCCTGGAGGAAAGCCTGGGACCCGGGACGCCTGTGCGCGGCGGGGACCCCTCGCGCGGTGGCCCTGGCTCTGGGAGGGCGCGCCGGTGCGGCTGCCGCTCGGACGCCCGTCCCGCACGTCCACGGACGTTGCTGCGGTTCTTTCTGGTTCTCGCCTCCCGTCTCCGGCTCCCGCTTCCAGCGTCCCAGCCACCTCCTTCTGTGCTCCCTCTCTGCTTCTGTTCCGTTTCCGGGGAGATGCCTGCGTCTTTCCTCAGCTGCATCTGCTGGTCCTCGTGTTGAGTTGGCGTTTTCTTTGCTGTCATTACTCATTTCCACAAGCTCGTTGTTTTCGAGAGGGATCGTTGCCGCGGATCTTCAAGTACCATGCTGTTCTCGTTTCTGGGCTCGGTGTCGTCTTGCTGTGAGAGCGTGGACGCCTGCAGATGCGTCTCTGCCGCCAGTGCCCTTGCTGTTGTGGAGTGGGACGGGCGCCTCCTTCCTGGACACAGGCTCGCTCCCTCCCCGCACTCAGCCCACCTTTCTTTTGAGGGGCTCGTGTCCCGATTCAGCAGCCTTTGGGGGTTCTGTGGTATAAACTGGTTGCTTCTTAAGTCTGTTTTTCAATTTAGAAAAGAGTTTTTGAAACTTATCTTTGTTTTAACTTTGTGGTAACAGAATTTGAACTAAGAGTTCTTGACTTAATTTTTTTTAAATTTTAAAGCCTGAATTAAACCTTTTTCCTACTCTTGAGTGTGTCTCGTCTCTATATTTGTTTCTAATGCTTTCGTGTCGAGAACACGTGTTGTTTGCAGAACAAGATCAAATCCAGGCAAATTTAAAAGCAGTAGAACTTATTTCAGGATAATTGATTCTTTTTCATCTTTGTGGGATTGTGTATGAAGGAGGTTTCTCTACCACTAAATATGGTGGTTGTTACCTTGTGCTGATCCTGGAGAAAAGTTCATTTAATAGAAACCTTGTAG